CCTTCTGCCTCTCAGCTGAACCAACATTGTCGCAGGTTCTTGGCAGACCCAATTCCGGGGCAGTAGAAGACCGGCCAGCTCTGCGGCCTCACCCCCTTCCGTCGGGGACAGGCGGGAGGGCAGCTCGGAACGTTCGGAGAGTTCCGAATGGTGGCCTGGGCCCCTGACCCACCCCGGGGCCAGTTCTGTGTCACCCGCCTCCCCCTCCAGCAGCGCCACCGCCACCCCCCCCTAAGCGGGGCCGTTTAGCAGCTTAAGGGGGAATCTTCTCTCGGCAGGTCGTCTCCTGGATCCTGTTCATGGGCCTCTTCTCATACCTGAAAGTGGTGATCGGAAGCTTGCTGCACGAGGCCGGCCACAGCGCCCTGGTCTGGTGTGGGGCCGTCATCCAGGCGGGCTCCTTGGTGGGGGCCCTGTCCATGTTCCCCCTCACCAGCATCTACCACCTCTTCCAGAGCGGCAGGGACTGCGTGGACAACTGCCCGGCGTGAGCTGGAAGAATGCCCGCTGGGCCTGACCCCTGGGGACCGGGACCGGCTTTCCAAAGGTCTCTCGGCCCCTCTCCAGGTGCAGCTGCAGCCGACCCTGGTAGCCCTTGAGCCGGCCTTCTTCGCCTGCCTGCCTGCCTGGGGGATCTCCCGGACTCTCTTCTAGCTCTGAGGGGGACCGGCTGCCTCCTCTGGACCCGGCACCGATGTGGCTGCTCTCTCCTAGCTCCGAGGGGGACCGGCTGCCTCCCCTGGACCCGGCACCGATGTGGCCGAGGAGCGCTGCCCTGCTGCTCCTGCTGTGCCCCGGCTGTGCTTCTCGGACAGGACAGGCCGCGAGGGGCTGCCTGCCTTCCTCCCCCCCCCCTTTAGGCAATCTTCCTCCTGCTGTCTTAGGCTTGGATTGCATTTGGCGGGCCCTTTTCCCAGGGAGCCAAGGCCCTTCGGTCACTTGTGGCCCTAAAGGTGTCCCCCCCCAAGGGCTGAGCAAGCAGGGGATGGCTAGAGCCCCAGACAGGTTGCCTACGGCAGCCCTTGCAGGCCCACGGCTGCCGTCTCTCCCAGGAAGGTGGGTGGGTGGGTGCTGCCTTGTTTAGTGACTCTGCCTTTTCTTCCACTCCAGAAGCTCTCTCTCTAGCCGCTGCAGCACAAGCGTGGGATGCTCCCAACTGGGGGAGGTGAAGGGAGTGGGGGGGCTTTGTTGCCAGATTCAGGGGGTCGGGTGCTGCTTCCACCCCACCGATTTCTCCCCCAACCACCACCACCTATGTGCCTTCATGCAGCGGAGTGTTCTTCTCTTCACTCTGGGACCAACTCTTCTCCAGCCGCCCCTCCAGGCCCTTTGAATAGCTGGAAGTTCAGCTGGGTGGAGAGCTGGCATCCAAGGAGATCCTTGGCGGGGGGGGGGGGGCCGGG